CAAGTATCACCGCATATTAGCAAATAATAGAGACTGAGGTAAACATGTACAATAATTTCTATGACTGAGTACAAATAATGTGAGCATGAATAAAGCCTAAGCATAATCTCTAACATGAAGGTAGACAAGTTCAACAATAAATAAACACATAACCACAAATAATAGCCATTAGGCCTCACAGCCTCACAGGACGGACCAAGTCTTAATCCCTCGCGGTGCACACCCACACGTTCGTCACCTAGTATGGGTATCACTTCCAAACAATCACGTGATGTCAAATCTCCGGGTTTATACCCTCAAAGCCATAGTTAAAATCGTTACTTACCTTAACAGCGTAAGATCCTACTCCGGGATGCCCTCGTCTCTAGACTCGATCTCCAAATGCTCTTAATCTATTCACAATCAGTACAATACCATCAATATATGCTAATGGAATAAATTCCACAAGAAAAACTATCAAATTATGCCAAAAATCTGAAACCGACCAAAACCCGACCCCTGGGCCCACGTCTCAAAATCAGTCAAAAATGGAAAAATAATAAACCTTGACCTCTCTCGATTCTAACCATACCAAATTCATCAAAATCCGACATCGTTTGGTCCTTCAAATCCTTAAATTACTCTCCAAAAATTCCAAGCCCTAACCCCTCATTTTCATTAATTAACCATGATTAAACAACAGAAAAACACCATATATACAAGTATTAGGGCTCAAGTAACTTACCTCAATGAAACCCCCTTGATTCCCTCTTCAAATCTCTCCCAAAAGCTCCAAAACCGAATAGAAACGGTGAATAGTGCACCACAATTCGCGAAGTGTGATATATAGGATCTGCCCCAGGGTTTCCGCACCTGCGGACCCTTTCTCGCACCTGCGGACTCGCATCTGCGGTCCCAGGTGCGCATTTGCGAAAGTCACTTAGACGCCAAGCTTCGCACCTGCGGCTGCCCCTTCGCACCTGTGGGCTCGCAGGTGCGATCCTCTCTTCCGCACCTGCGCTCAATGCCAGGCCTCCATTTTTCGCATCCGCGACATGCCATCCGCACCTGCGATCATCGCACTTGCGGCTCACCATCCGCAGGTGCGGCCACACCAGTAGCCTTACACCAGCAGCTTGCAGCTGCATTTTCCAACTTCCTAACACCCCGATACCCATCCAAAATCATCCCGAGCCCCTCGGGACCTCAACCAAAAGTACCAACAAGTCGTATATCAACATACAAACTTAGTCGAATCTTCGAATCACTCAAAACAACATCAAATCATCAAATTACCCTCGGATTCAAGCCTAAGAACTTCTAAATTTCCAAATTCGGCAACCGATGCCGAAACCAACCAAACCATATCCGAAAGACCTCAAATTATGCATACACATCACAAATGACACTACGAGCCTACTCCAACTTCCGGAATTCCATTATGACCCCGATATCAAATTTTTCCACTGCCGACCGAAATCGCCAAATTTTTAATTTCACCAATTCAAGCCTAATTCTACCACGAACCTCCAAATCACATTCCGGATGCACTCCTAAGTCCAAAATCACCTAACAGAGCTAACGGAACTATCGGAATTCAAATCCGAGATCGTTTACACATAGGTCAACATCCGATTGACTTTTCTAACTTAACTTTCTAACTAAGAGACTAAGTGTTCATTTCACTCCAAAACTACTCCGGACCCAAACCTACCAACTCGATACAACTCAACACCGCTGAACAACACATAAAGAAGGAGGAATGGAGAAACATGGCTATAACTCTCGAAATGACTGGCCGAGTCGTTACACTTAGTTATTTCTATTACTACTGAGTCGGTTGTACTCATACTACACCCTGCACTTTATGTGCAGATCCAGGTGAGTTAGAGCACATCGATCGTTGAGTTCAGGCCGGCTATCTGTGAAAATTGCAAGGTAGTTGCTAGCGTCCGCAGGACCTTGTTACTCCTTTTGTCATTTCTTCTTTTGGAGTGTTAGACAGTTTATATATCTTAGTTTATAGTTTTAGACGCTCATGATTTAGTGACACCCCGATGTTTGGGGCTCATTTCCGTATTTTCTATATTATATTTAGAGTTGATTTAGTTTATGAGAAATTTAAATGTTGAAATATTTTATTAAATTCTTATAATCAGTTTAGTAGTAATATTTTGGGAAGTAGGCTTGCCTTGTAACACGATAGGTGCCATTACGACCATGGTTAGATTTTGGGTCGTGACACGTTAAATGCATCTACAGAGGTTAATCCTGCTTGTGGTGAAGTAAGAATGGAGGGGAAAACTACATCTGAGGTGTTCTGTACCATACCACCTATATCTGACGAGGGTGTATCTAGAGAAGTATATGTATCACAATTTGAGTTGGCGGATAAGTTTCTTCCAAGTCAAATTCCAGAAACTAGAATTGTGATACATCATGCAGCAAAAAATATTGATTCAACCCCTTTAACCTCTCATAGGAATCGACATCCAAGTCGATGGTATTCTTCGCCTTACAAGTCAAACTTCGACTCCAGCTGGTTAGTAAATTATTAAACAAAAACTATGTATTATAAAGTTATGATCTATTTCCCCATGATATCTATAATTAAATGTCTCTATTAATGACTTCAATGAACAATAAGTACCTCAGTAAAGTTGACACCCATATTTGACAAAAAATACCCCTTTGAAGATGATTTAATATCGGGGCCACATCCTACATTAGTCATTAAGAAATACGAGAAATGGGTTCGTGATGGTCTTTTTGCTAAACATGATCAAAAGTAAGTTTTTTTCCCGATATGTATAATATGTATTTATCAATTAGAAAGTGGATATAATATTTTTTCCAATTCCTTGTAGAAATAATATGGAAGACCATTACAAGAAAAACAAGTCAACACTGCCTAAACCGTTGGATTTTGGAGTTGATCAAGTCACTTCAAAAAATTGGTTTTACCTTCTCTCATTTGACGGTAAACTATGGAATGACAATGTAAGATATAACCCTTCTAACTTCAGTTTAATTCATTTTTTTTCTGTTTGGTTTATCTAATTGTATATTTCACAATTTTGCTAGTGACATACAAATTCTGTATTCATTTGTATTTACATTGTTGATGTGGTATGTAGACAGACGTATTCTATATTAACAGATATACAGTTAAATATTGTATTCACCATTCCGGGGACAGTTTTATCTGCTGCTGGTTTAATTCAATGAGTTCTGTATATTCAGTGTATTTAACTGTATTCATATTTATATTTATTTTACTGTTTTCTCTAGCAATTTGTTAAAAGCAGTATGTATTCTTCATTAGTTTCTTAACTGTACGACTGATATAGAGCAGTATTTTAGTTATCAGTATGTATTTAACTGTATGCAATATTAAATACTCGAATATATTCAGCAGTATGTATCTAACTGTACACACTATATTTAATTTATTTTTACTAGTACTGATTTCTATTTTCAGTTTCTTCAACATACAATACATGTATATATAAAGTTTCTTCAATGAAGTTTGTTTTCTTTGATTTCATTCAATGTAATTACGCTATGTATTCAATTTTATATATAGCATATTGATGTCATATTTTACTACCCGAGAAATAAGGGCAAGTACAACCGAACCACCAACTTCAAGTATACAACTGTTGATTGTATATTCAAGACAAGAATTGCTGAAATCTTCAACAGGTATGCTGATACAGATAGTAATGTAAATGTAGCCAAAGAAGATGATGTGGTATGTGAGTACATAAGGGGCTACAGATTGCTAGCTAATATACCATGACATACTGTTGACAATGTCTTGATACCAGTCAACTTGAAGGACAAACTTCATTGGATATTGGCAGTTGTCTCATTCAAGGAGAGATGTATCAAAGTATATGACTCATACAGATCAGCAGGTTATGATGCCTATGTGGGTTTTGAAATAGATAAGCTTGTACCTCTGTATCTATCGATCAGTCATTTTTACAGAGATAAGCAAGGCACAGATTGGTCTCATGACTCAGCATACAGTGACAAGGCACAAACTGATCCCTTTGATGTTGTTTTCATTTCAAATCTTCCACAACAAAAATCTGGGAGCATGTATGTATTCAATCCTCTTGCTTGTATTATTTAAAAATATAATAATATGAATTATTTTTAATTATTTCAATCTGCATTTTCAGGGATTGTGGGTTGCATGTAGCGGCATACGCAGAGTATCTGAGCACTTTTGGTTTAGTTCCACAAACAATATTTGATGCCAATTTACTCCGTCAAAGATATGGTGCCCTCCTTTGGGACTATGCTTTGCGGAAGATAGACGGTGATGCCATAAGCGAGAATGAAGCATCCTCAAAGATTGTTAGGCAAATCACGGATTCAGATACTTATGTGAAGATAGTTTTAGAATAGTTTTCGGTGAATATAGTTTTGGAAGATAGTTTTATGTGAATACAGTTTTTTGAATATTGTTTTGGTAAAGATGGTGTTATGTTAAGAAAAACTCATATTTTCACTTTATTCACTGTAACCACAGTGTTTATTCAGCTGTTTATAATTTTAAATATTCATGTTGTTTCAATGTTTTGTGCATTAGTTAATATTCAGCAGTTTGTATTCATAAGTATTCATCAGATGTATATATATATAATATGCATTCNTAAGTATTCAAATGTATTCAGATTGTATTGTATGTATAATGCATTTTGTATTGATATGTATTCAACTGATTGTAATTATGTATTTAGATATAATGCACCTGTGTGTATTCATATTTATTCAAAATATAAATGCAGTATGTATTCAGCAATTTACTAAATTATATTGAGCAATATGTATTTACGCAATAATCCAATACACCAACTAATCAATATGTATTATTTTAAAATGTCACCGGAATCTATGACACATCGTTATTATAGTAATACAAGTCAGAATGTGAACTAAGTCCTACGTAGAGCATTTCTACAAGTACGCTTATTATGTCCTCCCTGCCCACATATGCTACACGAATGTTAATTTTTCTTCTGCAATAATTCATTAAACGACTTATCGCGCTTCTTCTTTGGCCTTCCAGGAGGTCTTTTCCATTTGGGTGGTAAGACAACTTCCTCTGATATATGTGCTGGTATATTCCATTCATTTTGGTCAGGCAGCGGATACACGAGCACCTCGTATGTCATTACAACAGACTTTGGTTTGTAATAGTCCGAGCAATAATCTTCTGGCATTAGAAACTTGCTCTTCAAGATAGCCCAAGTGTGTGGGCATGGTAATTCGTCAACTTGAAACCGCCCACAACTGCACTTTCTCTCTAAGAGGCAAACGGTGTAATGACTTCCTTCATTGTTCACCATATACAAGTATTCAGTCGATGGTGCAACCTATATTTCAACATAGACCTATAAGTTTTGAACATAGACCTATATATATATATATCAAAGAATAGACGTATTAAATATAATATAGATATATATAATTAAAAAATAATTTAAATATATAACAGTAAACTTTTATTTATCTTTCAGAATTATCATCTATATTGAATTCAAGCAAATATGTATGTATAAAATACAATGAAATATAAATATATATCTGTATATATAAAATACAAAGACATACAGTGATATATAATAAAATATATTGAATACCGTGGAATACAGTCTATATTTAGGCTGGCAGAATATTAAAGATGATGACATTTTAACTGATGAATATAGTGATATACAGTAACATATAGACTATCTGCTGAGGAAATGCATCTGGTTAGAAACAAAACCATTGAATTCAACTAATAAAATACAAATGTATAAACAAGTAATGTATACATATAATGATCAGTTTTTTAAACATTTCATAAAACAGAAAGCATGCACAACTGCTATAATACAATGAGCCTTCTGTATTTGAATAGTAGAAATTGTATTAGAAATAAATACATCTTGTACCAGGGCTAAATACATGATACAATGTCTTTAAAAAAAAAACTTACAATCATACGTGTAGACATTGCCTCATTCAAAGAAAGCATCTCCTAGTATTTTTTTCCAAACGTTGTGTACGTGTGTGAAGTTTTTTTCCGATTGCTGCAATTCCAACATCCAAACATCTTCCTAACTTCTTCGAGGAAGTCGTATATTGGCAATTCTCTTGCCGACACAAGTGCGGCATTGATTGACTCAACAATATTTGACGTCATGGTCCATCCCCTGTTAACAGGTGCATACAACCTAGCCCACTTTTTGCATCCAGCTAATTTCAAGTATTCTTTCACCCTAATATCTACCTTCTCCACCTTCTCCATTAGACTATCAAATTCAGCCTGTGTGTATATTTTTGCCATCGAAAAGTATATCTCGCTCAACTTTGAATGACTCTTTTTGAATTTCTTATATACGTTGTTCCATAGATGCCATATACAAGCAAAATGTGGTACCATTGGATACACTCTCGGTACAGATTTGATGATGCTCTCATTCCTATCTGAAATGATGCACATGTTTTTCCTCTCACCATATGCTTCCTTGAATTACTCAAAGAACCACGACCAAGCAATATCGTTCTCTGAATCAATAACGCCATATGCTAGTGGCAGTATATGACCTGTAAATACAATTGCATACATATTAAAAATATGTGTTTCAATCTTTAATAGGCAGTAAAATTAATAAATTTTATTATAATCCCCATACTCACATGCGCCATCCAACGTGCTGGCCGAGACGAATGTCTCGGTGTATGCCGATTTTAGGTGGCTTCCATCCATAACCACAATGGGTCTACAATGATCGAACCCCTTTGTAAAGGCATATAAATATATATACACATATATGAACTCATTTTGTATCGATTTTACCATTCTAATGTGTGAACCAGGATATGTCATATCTATGGTAAATAAGTACCCTGGTAATTTATTGTATGAATCAGCCGGTTCGCCTCTCAAAAAATTCATTGCCTTTTCTTTATCCCGCCACGCTAACATATAACTAACATCTACATCAAAATCTGATTTCACATCATCAATTATATTCTTTGGGGGTGTATTTCCTCTTATAATTTGTAAGCTTGGACCTAATCATACCACCGATAAGACTACCACTTGCTTGACATTGCTCATACACCTTATCCTTCAACGAACATGTATGCTTATTATTGAACTCTCTCACTTTGAACATTTGTGATTTGTTAATACTAGAAGCCTTAAATCTCCATTCACAATCCTCTGACATACATAATAATGTATAGCTGCAAATA